CAAACACCTATATAAGTTTTTTATACATTACAAAAAAATTATTGATTGTAATAAAACTGTCCATTCAAATATTTATTTTTTAATGCTTTTTCTTTTTTCTTTTCTATGTCATTCAATGCGAAACTTTATTTAATAATAACAAGTTTTGGAAATGATTACAAAAAATATTTTCACTTCATGTGTTTTAAAAGATAAACTTTTACAAAACACTTGTAATTAGAAGAATGAATCGCATATCATATGCATATATTATTTGTTGTTTCCTTTCATTCTAATTAATTCAAAAATATTTAACACCAGAATGACTTTAGATAACACGGAAAAATCATAATTATTATAATATTGACAAATTACCAAATTATAAAGTAATAAAATGAAAATTTTAGATATCATTTTTCAAGAAACTAAGGTTGATTGAGTGAAATTATGATTCTCTATTGATTTAAACAAACAACTTTGAAATAATGAAACTATTCATTTTTCTTTTTTTTTTGCATAAAATAAATCTAATTCATAAAAAACAATTAAATTGATTAAATGAAATCCATGGTAAAGAGTTCATTTGAGGTTGAAATTCATGTTCCAATTTACTGTAAGAACATTAAACAATATATCTATAATTTTTACTATAACATTCACACGACAAGTTAACAAGTTTTAATGTTCTAGTGACAAGTTTAAAGTTATTAATAAAAATCTTAATGTTTTAGATCTTTTTATTAAAGAATTTCATTAAGTTTGGATGTTTAGAATGATCAATAACTAAATCTTGATGTTATCTCCATGTTTAGAGTTAAATCTATTTGTTGTTCTATCATAGTTTAGGTTTGAACATCATGTCCAATAATTAGATATCTATAAATATGCAATCAATTAATTATCATGTAATTAAAACTAAAAATAGAAAATATTGAAAAACATAAATCACAAAACGTTAAAGATACATTAAATCAAATCCCATGAATATGTGAGTTAGTTACTCTTGTACATTATACATACTAGAAAAGAATAACGATGAATACCTCCAAAATGTGTCTCTATCGTTTCTCTTTTAGGATTAGTCCCTTATTTCCCAAAAGTGGGTTAATTTTTAAATATGTGAAAACTTTTTTAGAAACTTTTAAAATGGACAATTCATTGAACGAGTGGTCCAAAATAAAATGAATATGAAATTTCTACTCGAATTTGTAATTAAAATTACCAATTCTATTAATACTTTAATTATGTTAATAACTCTCTTAAATCTATTCAGATTTCTATTTATATGTATAATATTTCATAAATAAAAACAACACATTTATCTTTTCAAAATATCTAAATAAAACCTTAATTATCTAATAATAAATAAAATACTAATAAAAATAAATAAACATAATAACGCTAATTATCAACATGTCTAACTTTAGACCATGAATTCCTCGTCATGATTTAGATTGTCGTGAGTAATAAATAATTGTAAATATATAATAAAACTATTACTTAAAAAATATGACTATATGTAATATTTTTCTAGCCAATTCGATACCATGTGTAAAATATGGTCTTTATTTATACATTTAGCCCACCTTCATTTAATAATAAGATTATTTTAAGACATGAAATAAAATAAACATGTTTTATTAATATAGTGAGAATAAAATATAATAAAAAAATTGAATTTATTAATTAAAATGTTTTTGATATATAATGGCACATAATTCAAATAGTCTTCTCTTCTTACATTATCTCAAGATAAAAAAAAAATACATCTTACTAAATTAAAATTATTATAAACTAAATCAACAAACACAAACAACACCAATTGATATACAAACTCCAACTAATAGCATCATTATTTGATATATATATGATCTTCACATACAAACTTCAACAAATAAAATAAAAATTGTCAGTTCAATAAAATAGAGAATCATGTTATCAATTCACTAGATATCATAGTCTAGTGTTAGTGTATAGGTAAAGTTGCTATTATTACTATCATATTTTGAATTAGGAGATATCCATCATCGTTTTAATGTGATATAGTAATTTTCAAACTTTCATCCTTTCTTGTTTCTTAATTCAAAAAAATATTTTGTTTCTTAATTCAAAAAATTCTTTAGTGATATGGAAACAATTTTATCTACTTTATAGTAAATAAATATCAAAATGTTATGACCTAGAGTCTTTTAGGTGATTTTTTTCTTATATATACCATAATATTTATATTAAGTTGGATTGTTCTTAAATTGATTTTTATTTAGATAAATTTATTCATTTGCATCTCACAATAATAAATTTTGGATAAAAATAACAACTAAGATTAAGAAGAGAAAAAACATTAAAAAAAATTATAAATTAGAAAAGTCGAGATTGATAAAAATAACATTGTTTTTTTTTTAAATAAACTTTTTTCAAATCTCAACCTCTAATATCCAAAACATATTACTGAAATTGCTAACATTGTTTTTTTATTAGAAATAACTAAAATCTCAACACACACATAAAAATAACAAATCTTAATTTAACAATGAAATACACTCACATGATTTCTTTTCCAATTTTCCAACTATAATGTGCACCATTCATTGTTATAAAGTGTTTATTCATTCATTTTTTATGTTTCCTTTCATTGTGTTTTTCTTATTTTTAAGAAAAGGAACACACAAATTTTACAGCTACAACATTTAATGCTATGCAAAGAGACATGAATGTTTCTTTACAAACTAAAGAGAGTGTTCATGAATTGTCTTTTAAAAATAGCATAATGATAATTAGTAGAAATTTCCTTAATTATCATCTTAAACTTAAACATGTAAAAGATAATTTATTTTTTTCTTTTAAAGTTAATAAATAGAAAGAAACAAATATCAAGTACACATCTTCCAATGACAGCATTTGCCTTTGCCCCGGGTAATCCTATCATCACTCTTTAGCCGTTTCTTGTTCATTATTCATCAATTCAATAGGCAAAAGCTAGTCACAGTGTGGTCCAACCTCACTTACGATTCAAAAATAAAATCATATTATTTATCTTTTAATAAAATATTATATATATAAAATAATTATTAGATACAGAAATTATCATGACAAAGAAATTGTTTTATCAAAAGTATTATATTATAAAAATAAAATACACTTGTGAGTTTGTTTAAATATTAGGTAAGATACTAAGAAAATGTAACTTCAATCAGGAAAAATTATCAGAGATTTTTTTGAAACAAATTCAGAAGCAATAAGTGAGACATGAGAGGGAATAAATAATTAACTCCCTAAAGTCAAGTAACATTAATACTGAAACAGTGTTTATCTTAACCAAAATCATATTAATGGATGGGGTTTATGTCAACTAATCAGTTTGCTACTCCAATAACTTAAAGTTAATGACAATTTATTGCATTTAACTAAAATGCCCCCCATTTTCCATCAAATTACACTAAGAACTATTCCATCACATGTTGGGAATTTTATCATTGAAAATGGGACCACTTTGTGGAATTTTGGCTCCTATTTTTTAGACTCTGTTGTCATCTTAAATTTTAGGGTTTGTTTCAGTGGATTAAGATTTTTATTTTTAAAAATGAATACTTTTTTTAGTTTTCTTACTTTAATTTTTACTTCAAAAATTCACAAAAAATATTGCTTTATATTAAAGTTTAATAGTTTGTGATGAGTTTTAAATACAAAATGATTTTAAATGGGAAGTCTTAGGATGATTAGTAGTGATTTTTTTAGAGGGCTTTATAAGATTTGAGATGCACATATTTGAAGCAGAAAAAAAAAGAGTACTTTTATATGAATTTTGATATATTGATTGACGAGTTTTCAGTAAAGAATTTGATTATTTATTTTAGCTAGATTTTAATATTTAATCCGTTTCAATATAATATTTTTTTATGGTTTTTTTTACGAAAATTAAGATAAAATTTTAATTATTTTATTTTTAAGATAATTTTAATTTATTCTCTGTTTAAAGTTCAGATACTTTTTAATATAAAATGAAATATATATTTAAATAAAATATATCATCGTAATTAAAATTTTAAAAGTAAAGATAAAAATATTTTTTTATTAAAAAACGACAATTATAAAGGTGAAAAAATATAACGATAAGAATATCAGGTACAATGATTATAATTTCGTAACTTACTTTTAACATATTATTTAACATCTATTCACTGAAAATCATACACTATTGTGAGTTTCAACTGAAAATCATAAACTCTTGTGAGTTTCATTCATTTAATGATTTATTTTTAATTATTAGTTAATAATTCAACCTGTGTTAAAAGATAAGAGTGCGTTAATAATACTTTCCCAAAGACTAAAATGCACTTTTAGTTTCTCTTTTTTATTGTTTGGTTTAAAATCTAGTTTATATTAAGCTCAAAAGTTTCATTTTAATTTCTTGAAGTTTTTAAATATACTTAGTTTGCTTTTTGTTAGGTTATTACATTAACTTGATTATTCTTGGTTAGATGAAACAAAAATACAAAACATACCATACAAATCACCCTTTCTCATGTCAACAAAATTAACAATATTATAATGACAAGACTAATAAATTAGTTTAATGAAAAACAAACATTTTACAGTATATCAAAGTTGAAAAGTTAGTAAAAGTTCAAGAGAGCAAAGCTAAATAATAAATAAACAAATGAAATACTAAAAGTGTACATTTAGTATTATATAATTCCAATCAATCTTTTAAGTTATGCAAAGTATTATTTAAAATTTATGTATAATAATTTCAACATAATAAAATGACTTTACATATATTTTCCAATTATTAAAATAATTACAATAAAAAAATAATAATCTCATCATATTTTATTATTGCTGAATGATAAGAGAAAAATATTATGGTATATAATTAAATAATCAGATTAAAAATAGAAATATAATTAATGTAAATATTAAAGAGTAAGGCTACAGTGTTATTTCCATATCTATTTCTGTTTCTTTTTGTATGTACAAACCATAAATATCAAGGATTAACCCTTGATTCATTTAACTTTACATATATTTCAACTTATTCTTAATTACTTAGAAATGAAAACTGTGATATCAAAAACTAATATATTCTGCCCCAGCCATAAATAGTATTATTAAGGCTGTATGTTTCTATTCTTTATTACTTTCAGTTTAGCTTTTGGTGACAAGTTTTGTTGAAGCAGTGTAAAGAGCAATGATGTCTAATTATTATAATTTTTACTCAGTCTTTAGAAGCTACTGGAACCGAAAATGCAAAACAGAAAGTGTTTTTTTAACATTTCAAAATGCAATTTTTTTAATATTTCAAGATAGCCCGGAATGAAATATCACAGGAGAAGCTTATAAAGACGTGATTAGAATAATATGAACGGAAAAGGAAGAAGATTGAGAGTTGGGGTTATGGAAGCAAAGCATCTGACCAGACACAGAAGTATCATAGGAAAGTGTTGAGAAAGATAGGACCTGGTGACTGACTCAAACAGGGTTGGAATTAAAAAAATGGAAAAGTCAAACATTTTATGTAATTAAGAAAGTTTTGGTTTCCTCAAAGGAGTCAGAATTCTAACGCATGCTTTTACTCCTATTGCCCCCATTTTATTATTGCTTTTAATGCCCAAGTCCTCCTTAGTACTACCAATATTACTCTCCATGCACCATTTCTTTCTTTCTTTATTCTAAAACAAAAGTGTTGCAAACAATAACTGATACAACAAAATTCAATACCAAGACCAAACCCCAATAATAAAAGTGTTGATATCACCTCTTTCACAACTCCCTAATAACTTTCCCAATATTTGACCCCTTCTGTCTCTCTTTCTCTTTCCCTTCTTTCTCTGCCATGGAAGATGATGAGGCATGCATCACCAGTCTTAGCCTTGGACTAGGAATGGGGAGCCATGTCACAAAGAAGGAGAAGCAGAAACTCCCTTCTTTGGACCTAACGTTTCAGATTTGTCCAAAGGGGGAGCAAACCATTCACGTGGATAAACAACAACGACAACAACATCTTCTTCATCATGATGATAAGGCAAAAAGGTTGTTATGTTTGAAGCACCCCACTGAAAATAGCAGCCCTGATAGCAGCAACAACAGCAGTAACGGCAGCAGAAAGAAACTGAAGCTTACCAAGGAGCAGTCAGCCACCCTTGAGGATATTTTCAAGCTGCATAACACTCTTAACCCCGTATTCATTTCTCTCCCTTTCACCAAACTATCTTGTTAGCAGTATTCTTTCTGTTTTTTCTTTTTATTTCATGGAAGCTAATTAAACTGCATGTTGAATTATCACACAATAGATTGTATTGTTGGTTTTTATTAGAATCTTTCACAGGAGATCATTAATCAAAGGGGAATTATTTATGGGTTGGTTTTGGTTTCACATGTAGGCACAAAAGCAAGCACTTGCTGATCAATTGAATTTAAAGCATAGACAGGTTGAAGTTTGGTTTCAGAACAGAAGAGCAAGGTATGGTGTATAGATCATATATGGCTTTTATGATCCTTAAAAATGAGTTTCAATCTCTGGAGTTTTGGTTTTATCTCATTGTAGCCTTAACATTTCTCTCTTCTCTGTCAAGTTTACCATGGGATTTTTTTAAACCTTTTCTTGTTGACTTGACTGTGCATTAAACTTTGTTTTATTGACTTTTCAGGACCAAGTTGAAGCAAACAGAGGTGGATTGCGAGTTCCTGAAGAAATGTTGTGAGAAACTAACGGATGAGAATCTGAGACTGAAGAAGGAATTGCAAGAGCTGCGTGCACAAAAGATTGGACCAAAACCATTGTACATTCAACTGTCGAAGGCCACAACCTTGAGCATTTGTTCATCGTGCGAGAAAGAATTGAAGCCTAATGAAGGGAAGAAAGGAGGCATTTCCGATGTGGTCCGAAACAGCAGCCAGAAATTGCAGAACAGCGTAGGGGTAAAGGGCATTTAGAGGGTATAAGGAACTCATAATTTGATGAAAGATAATTGGAATGTCAGAATCAAATATTGATGATTAATCAGGAAAGAAGGAAAGTACACATCCTCAGTCCCCACATCGAATAATATGTATAGCCGTGTAGGACTGCGTGTGGTATAGGCCAGCTAGCTCCATAGTTAAGTTAACTTTCCGTCTCTTTCTATTCATTCAAATTTATCAAAATTAACAAACAATCTAATTTCCTTTATTCTAAAATGATGAACTGTTATTATTTTCTATCTGATTGATGAAAAGCTTCTATTTTTTTTTCCTGATTTTCATCTTTTAAAACAATACGTAAAAACGTTACTAATATAAAAAACGAGAAAAAATTGTATGGTTGTCCAAATATTTTTTTAAAATTTTTTTTGGTAAAACTGTGTGTTCAAAACTTTTTTTTTAAGTTCAGATCTACCTTTTTTAAATAATCTTGTTTGTTTTTAGTTTAGACGCTGTTTTTATAAATTTTAGATATAATACTTTAATAATAGAGAAAATAGCACCGCTAAAATTAAACTCTAGATAAATGTGAAATGTTTGAGATGTTAATATATATATATATATATATATATATATATACTTTTTAAAAAACTTAAAAGTAATCATTAAATAATACTAGCAAAATATTGCCAGAGAGGGAAAACTATATTTGGACGGTGAATTTAATTAGAATACTTTTAGAAGATTGATAATTTTAATGACAATAATAATTTTAAAATAAAAAAAAAATTGTGGGTAGTTGATTTCATAAGAAGAAAATTATACTTGTGTTTTCCATGACGTGAAAGATGGGCATTGACGTTCAAATTCTTCGTTGAATGACTCACTAGCAAATTCAATATTGTTTTCTTAAACCCTCTTTCCCAAGAAAACACGTTGATAAAGAACATTACATGATATATTAAATATTAATCCATAATGTCATATATCTAATGTATAACTTACTATACACTTCTATGTAGTAATTATAATTAAAAGAAAAAAAACTAACACAAATTGAGCGTTAAGAAAACGTGTTATAGTAACCAAAATGATAATTAAAAGAAGAAGAAAGAATGTTATAGAGATTATGATTAAGTATTAATTATAATGTGTAATGATTCTAATGTATATATAATAGAATATTAGTTCGAACCAGTCAATTGTCTTGGGAAAGTTTTGTGTGTGAACTAACAAGATCAGTTTTGATTTATCTATGTCTCTTTCATGGTTTGGTTTAATTAATTTTATGGTCAATGGACCAATCCACAAAACAAAATGGTCTCAAATTAATCAGAATAGGGCAATGGCCATTGGTGGAAAAAGCAAGGTCTTTGACAAGCAAAGAGGAAGACACAGACTTCACCATGTTCCTAGAAACTCCTTATAAGTGTGAATCTTCCCACCTTATCTATTTCCATGTCAATCTTTTGCATATCATTAAGAGAATACTTTCAAAAACACATTATTATCCAAATTTTAATCATTACTAAATATTACAATTATCATTTTACAAAAACAAATAAATTCTCTAAAATATATTTTTATTTTTTATTTAGTTAACGCAAGAGATTAAAAAAATAAGATTGGAACGGAGGGATTACACAAAAATTATACATAACAATAATTTTGAAAATAAATAATTATATATTGTTATATATTTCTTTATTTGAACTTAAAAACCAATTAAGTCAAGAAGTTATTATCCACTTGTTAAATATTAATGAGTAACAGCACACAAAGTCACTAATAAGAGACGTTTATCTTTAGCTTTGTCTTTTTTTAGGGGATTTTAATGGTTTGTGAATAACCGATAACAAGAACATTTTAATGGAAATAACATCGAGAGAAAACATTATATTAGTTTAAATTGTGAAAAATGAGCATTAATTGATAAAAAAATTACTTTTAATTTTTTAACTGTTATGCTTGAGGAACTGAAACAGTAACTTTTCTTTTTTACCTTTTCTTAAATGCATTAGTAATTAAAAAATTTGACTAGGAACGTCCAAATTTGTAGTTCTTAATTGGCTCTTTGACGGGATGTTCTTTTTCCTGGGAAATCTGCTCAATTAAAAAAGTGAAAAGAAATTAGAATATATATATATATATATATATATATATATATATATATGAGCTATGTAAGTAGATATTTAGACAAAATGAGATAATACCAAATTAAATATATGAAATAAAGTACTTTTTTAATTATCTCAAATTCTGAAAAAAAATTATTATAAACAATATTTGAAGTAACATTGTATATCTGTCCTTCCATATATTTTGTTAGTATCTTCAAAGAAACATCTGAAATGACTTTTGAAATAACATATATAATTGTTCATGAGAAAAATAAAATAAAATA